TGTGAAATAGCTGAAGCATACCTCTTCCCCTTAGTTGGGGAAATGAAAATTACCTTTTTTCAGAGCAAAAAGCAAAGGAACTTCTCTCTCGCGGGTCAAGCATGTCAATGTTCTTTGCCTTCTTTCTCATCCAACGAGTCGCCTGTGGGCTGATCTTCCTCTCTGGATCTATTGTCTTCTTCCCTTTTTTTGCCACTGGGCATACTCTTGTGAAATACCTGAAGCATACCTCTTCCCCTCAGTTGGGGAAATGAAAATTACCTTTTTCATCTCACTTGGAAGCGGTGACTGGAGTTGTTCCCGCTTGCTCGATTCGTACCTTGGCCGATGACTTGGAAGGGTTTGCCTTTTTCTCTTCGCTGCATGATGCTTCCAGCTCTCTTTTCGGTCTCCTCATCCTTGCTTCTAAACCTTTTAGAGTCTGTATGATGTCAGATGGCTCTTTTTTAGGTATGTTTTCTGGCTTTTCCTCTACAATGATGTGCACTTTATCCACCGATATTGTAAGGCTCGGTTTTTTATTGAGGGCACAAGATGTTTGAGCATCTACCCTCTCTCCACTTGGTTGGCCTTACTAGCTTCTGCATGTTGTGTTGGGCATCTGACGGCTCAGCATTTTCATATTTTTCTCCCAGTGCTGGGGTCTCTATCTCAATGGTAGCATCTTCATTTACCATCATCTCTTTATTCCCTTCACCAAAACATTTTTAAGCTCCAATATCCCTACTTACACTATGCTCCAACATTGCTTCTGCATTTGATTCCCCTATTAAAGCTTCATTCAAAATCTTCAACACTGAGCATTCTTCTGATTCAGCAGGCAACTTCATGGAATCATAGACTGAGAACTTCACCTCATGATCTTGAACGTGGATCATCAGCTCGCCTTTTTGGACATCCACAAGCGCTCTTCCAGTTGAAAGAAATGGTCTTCCCATAATGATAGGAACCTCCTTATCTACATCATAGTCCAAAATAATAAAGTCAGTAGGGAAAATAAATTTATCTACTTGCACTAAAACATCCTCGATTTTTTCTTCACGATATGTGATTGATCGGTCTGCTAACTGCAATGTGATTGTTGTCGGCCGCGCTTCTCCTATCCCCAACTTCATGTAGATGGATAAGGGCATGAGATTAATACTTGCTCTTACATCACGTAACGTCTGTTCTATCTTCTGTCCTCCAATGGAAACGGGTATGGTAAAGCTCCCAGGATCCTTCATCTTTTTCGAAATTTTGCTTGTGAAGATAGTGCTGAAGGCTTTAGTCAATGCCACAATTTCGTATTCTCCCGACTTGCTTTTCTTTGTGAGAATGTCCTTAAGGAAGCGTACATAAGTCAACATTTGCTCCAATGCTTCCACCAGCGGTATCTTGATATGCAGCTGCTTCAGCACATCAAGGAACTTTCTAAATTGCACATTTTGCTCTTTCTTTTGCAACCACTTTGGGTATGGTGGTACGGGTCGATACTCGACTGGAGCATTTTCATGCTCTGTCTGCTTCTGTTTTCCAGTTATGTATAGATGTGATGCTTCTCCTTTGGCTGCCCTAGCTTCTACTGGGTTGACATATTTGCTTGCGTCTCTTTGCACTTTCACTATCTGATCGCTACTGTTCATTAACTGTCTGAGGTTTGCCCTTTTTTTTACTGGCATGATTATAGGGGTTCTGCCTGACTCACACTCTTCTGTCTGTAGTCCACGTCCTTCATCTTAATTAAATTTTTTTATAGATTCCTAGAGCATTTGGATGGACAGTAGGCAATGTCTTGCCACTCCGCAATGTCAAATCATTACATTGCTCCTTCCCATCTCTCTTGGGCACCTTAGTATCATTGGGCAGCACTTCATGGGATCTACTCTTCAAATTTGTTGCTAATTGGCCCACTTGCATTTCTAGATTCCTCAGCGATGCTGCCTAACTTTGCACCGTGGTATCATTCTTTTCCATATACTGTTTCGTTAGATTCTTCAAAGATGCGAATGATCCTTCAAATGACCATTGCACTGTTACCTGACCTTTGTTTAAGAAGCCTGGGGGATAACTTTCTTTTTGCTGATATGCTAGAGCATTGGATTTACCAGCATTGTTTCCTCCCTGATTTCGGTCCAACATAAGTAAGGGTAGTTCCTCCAGCCAGTATTGTACGTAATGGAGTATGAATTGTTCCTACCATTCTGCGCAATACCCAAGTAGTACATCGACTCTGGATTGCCAGGGCAATTGTTGTAGTGGTGATCTCCCTTGCAAAAAGAACAAGAAATCTCTTGAATGTGGCTGACATTTGCCTTACCGATAGATGCTCCCACTGTGTCATGCTCCTCATAACCAAATCTGTCAAATTTTCAATCTTTGAATTTAGGGCTGTGAAAGACTCTAATTCATTCAATCCCTTGCCTCCTTTACCTTGAATAGCTCTAGGGTCAGACCATGAATGGTTGGTGGACGATATCATTTCCAAGATGTTGAATGCTTCAGCATAAGGTTTTGTTAACAAAGCCCCATTTGCCGACGCATCGATGACCAGACGGGTGGCATCGTCTAAACCATTGTAATACGTTTCGATCTAGATGCATCTTGGGATCCCATGGTGAGGGTATTTTTGCAGAAGCCATTTGAAACACTCCCAAGACTGGCTAACTTACTCCCTAACAAATTACTGAAAATTGTTGATTTTGCTTATGTACTTAGCATTTTTGCTTGGTGGGAAGTACTTCATCAAAAACTTTCCCGCCAAGTTGTCCCAACTTGTAATTGATTCTGAAGGGAGTGACTCCAACCAAGTCCTCGCTTCATCTCTGAGTGAATGAGGGAACAATTTCAATCGCAGAACTACTTTGCTGCATCCTTCGTCCTTAAAAGAATTGCAAACTCCTATAAAAACTTCAGATGCTGATGTGAGTCCTACGTAGAATGTCCGTGAAATTGGCCCACTGTCTGAAGTATATTAAACATAACTAGCTTAAGCTCAAATTTTGGGGCTACAATTTCTGGCTCCCTGATGACTAGGTTGGAATTATAAAATGCTGGAGATGCATATGCCCTGATTTCTCTATCGATGTCATTTGCAAGTAATACAATATTGAGAGTGGGCACTACTACCTCAGGGTTAGCAGCAACAGGAACCCCATCTACTATTTCCTCAATCCTCACATTTGGTGGAATAGGCAGGCGCAAAGGTGGGTTGGGCGGATTCATGTTTGCTTCAGCTTGGGTTCTTCTTTATTCTCTTCGATTTCTATGGAAAGTGCATTCTATCTCGTGGTCGATAATATATTCCAAACTCTCAAAATCGTTCATGCACCTACAAACATAAGAAAATGTGAGAAAGAGAAAACTCGATTAAGCATCGTATCTACAAACACTATTGTATACAATAAAATCACTAAGTCTCCGACAACAGCGCCAAAAACTTGTTGCGTGCACATAACTGTGCTAACAATAAGTGCAAGTATACACGAAATTTCCGATTGTAGTACAAAACGAGGTCGAATCCACAGGGACTTTGGATTGTATTTTAAACGATGTTCACAGATACCAAAAGTGTAAAACAAAGAAATATAGATGTTGTGTCGTAACTTAAACAAATAAAATAAACAAAGCAGTAAACAAATCTCAGCAGCCGACACACTTCGTAGAGCTGATAACAACAAGAAGAAACAACACAGAATACATAAACGGGGAGTTAACAGATATAGGAAAGTGGGGGAGATTCAACATGCATTCATAGACCTATCAACCTACCATCTAGCTAACAAATATTCATTAATACCCAACTCGACTTGGTTCCCTTTCGAGACACCCAAACATGGATACTCACAACTCCCGTTGCTAAGTTTCCAAGCAATAAAAACAAGTTCTAAGCATGATTAGGGGACCCTATTCCTGAGAATTCACAAATACTATAGAAAAGTACTAATCACTGATGAAGCAAGTCAGCAAACCATAAGCCCTCCTGGGTCAATACAGAAGCTAGCATACAAAACAAAGCGGCCACCAATGCTTAATAAGATATAAGAAATAATCACAGCTTCATTAAAAAACAAATATAGCAGCTAGAGGTTCAATTTCATAGCAGTTACTACATGCGAATCTCCCCCGAAATTGGGTTTAGCTCATAAACGAAGAAGAAAACACAATGGATAAATGAAGAAGACAGCCCATATTAGGGAAATAGTAGAAAACTGAAGAAGAAGAAGATGACAGCTCGAAACTACAGTGGAATATCTAATAACTCTCCATAAGAGAGTGTTTTATGGCATAATTTGGGCAATTTTGGTGTGTAAATGTGAGAGTCCTTATCAAAAGATTATGGAAAAGAGAAGAAATCACTTAGTTAGGTCCATGAGCTTTTAGAATTCACAATTCCCTCATTTTTAATGAATTATGCTTAATTAGGGATGTGTTGTATTAGGAATTGGAGAATTTGTTGAGGGCAAGCCAAGTGCTTTCAAGGCTGTGAAAGTGTTTCTCAAACCAGAAGCCGCTCAGGATGCTCTAGAGTGTGTGACTGCGCAATAATTTATTTGTACCAGTTTTACCTCGTCCGTACAGCCTCCTGGTGGTGCCCTAATTTTTCAGGAGCGATATAAATAGAAGAACAGTGTCCAGCCGCCAAAGGGCCCTAGAACAAAAAATCCATTTGGGTAAGGAAATTGGAGAACATTTCTCACCCATTTTCGAGGAGAAGCCGACGAAGAAGAAGTCGATCCTTGCGTCACACTGAGCTGGGGAAATCTTTACTGCTGCTAAAGCTTCCTTACTCAATGGGCTACATATCTTCTCTAACCCACTTTTCTATTTTCTTTTCTTATGAACTAAACCGCACCTTCGGAGGGGATGAACTCGCTATAGCTCTCATCTATTTATGTTTTAGTAACTCATATATATTTTATGTTGATTTAATAGAGTGTTTTTATTCTTTCATCGTACTAATTTTGTTTGGCCAACATTATTGGTTTGCTATGCTCACTTGAGGCTTGGGAAAGTCCTTGTGTTGTGTGTTTACCTATATTTGCGTAAGATTTCTCTCTTTGAAGTAGAATGGTGAGTACTTAGAGATGAGACTCACCCTTCCGTGCCTATAAACTGTTCATATTGCTTGTTTAGTCTACAATGGGAGTTGGGGCTAAACATGTTTGGGTATCTCGGGAGAGAGCCATGTTTGTTTGGGCATTCAGCATTTTGAGTCTACTAGAGCATATGTAGACGTCAGTGAGAGCATTAGAGTGATTCCCTCTCAATTTACCTTCATTTCGCATTTATTTCGCATTTTTCTATCTGTTTTCCATTTTCTGATGCTCGAAAGTAGAATCGCAGAATATTTCTATTCTTGCTCATTTACTGTTTTTTGTTGATTTACTATTACAACATCCATACAACTTTAATATTTTATTTTTAATTTGTCTTTTTGGTATTCTAATTTACTATTTAAAGTAAAATTGTAATCCTTGTGGAGATAACCTTGTTTATATACTACAATTGATTATTTAGTGTATACTTGCACTAATTTTCCTTTAGTTGTGAGGAAGCGAACAAGTTTTTGGCGTCGTTGCCGGGGATTAAGTTTTCTTACTTGATTTTAGCAAATTAGAATACGAGACTTAAAGAGCTCTCTTAATCTCTCTCTTGTTGATTTGTGCAGTAAATGAACGATTTTCTTACTTTGGAATTTGAGTTTGACCCAAAAATTGAATGAACATTTAGAAAGAGAAGGGTGAAGCAAAGAGTCTAGCGTAGAGAAGAAATTAAAATGGATAACCCTCAACATCCACCAGAGTTGAGAGTAGAGGGAGTACAAGAGGTTGTAGCTAGAAGACATGCTCCAGCACCTCCTCTGAATGTTGTTCTGCTCGCAGATGATATTGAGCAGGAAATTAGAGCTTATACGGCCCCAACATTCTATGACTTCAATCTAGTGATTGCAGATCCTCTTATTGAAGCCGATAGATTTGAGCTGAAGCCCGCAATGTTTCAGATGCTCCAAACCGTAGGGTATTTTCATGGGCTTTCATCAGAAGATCCCCATCGCCTCCTATGGTATTTCATGCTAGTGACTTATTCGTTTAAAGTAGAAGGAGTTAGTAAGGAGGCTATGGGCCTGAAGTTATTCCCTTATTTCTTGAGGGATAGTGTTGGAACATGGTTTGATTCCTTACTTACGGAGTCAATCACTTCATGGAATGATTTAGCAGAGAAGTTCCTGATACAATACTTCCCACCATCGAAAAATGCGGAGCTCAGGAGCAAGATAAACAATTTTCAACAACTCTCTTGAGAGTCCTTGAGCGAGTCATGGGTGAGATTTAAAGGCCACGGTTACATTCAAATAGAGACATATTATAAAGGTTTGAATAAGGCCACACAGTTGGTGATAGATGCTTCAGCGAATGGAGCATTATTATCAAAGTCGAATGTTGAAGCCTTAGATATTTTGGAAAGAATCTTGCACAATAAGCACCAATGGTCAAAGTCCAGGGCTGCTTCAGCAACTACATCTAGTGGATTAGTAGAGGATGATGTCGTGGAAGATTTAAATTCAAAAATTTCAAAGCTAGCAGACATTGTGATGATGAGCTTATCGCACTTGGATGGTGAAGCATCCAAGGCTAAGGTAGAC